TGAAAACACAAGTGAAATCAAAGTCATAAATTCTGATGAGAACATTTCGATACAGTTTGTAAAAATGCACAATATGAAGAATTTGAACTCTATATTAACGAATATTTAGTTTTCCTCGTTTATAAGTAAACATGAAGGCTGCAAATGAATCAAATCAAGAAAATCATATTCGAATCGATGTCAATTTCTTATACATCTCGAACAAAAACATATCAACAAAAAAATGTGCTTTATAATGTTTGATAAAGCGCACTTTTCAGTAAAAAAATTGATGAAAACCTTAACTTATAAGGGAAAACTCATTTGTAAAGAGCTCCTCATCAAGAATATTTTTAAACATATGACGATTCTTATACAGGATCATTTTTTAGGATTTAATCTAATAGTAAAACATTGTCTTTTTTATGAAAAATAATAATAGATGTTTAAAAGAATAAAGTTGATAGGTATGGCGTATTTAAATCTGGTCAAAAATAATGTAAAGTGTAATTAGAATTATTTCCTATTAAGTTCAACATGAAATAAGTAAGACTTTCTTACTTTATATTTAACTTACCTGTTTCAGAAATAGAATTACTTTTAATTGATTTATCTCACAAAATTAGATTAAAAGATTTTGAGAAATGATCAATTACACAAAATACGCAAAAATATTCAATTTAAATAGAATGTTTAAATTGTATTTCATCAGAAGAAAAAAAATCATTTACAGCAGGATTGAACTAATGCTGATCTTTTAGTATTTTCTGTCATAAAAAGTTCATAATATTCACATTAAAATGAATGTTTCAACATTTACTGCTCTTGCTCGAAGACATGTCAGTTCATTGAATCCATCAATAAAATAATAAATGATAATTTTACCGAGCATAATCATATGTAGTTACATCTAAAACAAATCAAGATAGTGGCTTATTCTCTATTTTTACAGTTCACCGATATATATGAAATTAAAAACACAAACAATGAACATAATCTGTCCATTACAATATAGTACAAAATATCATGTTTTGATCAGATAGAGAAAAAAAAGAAAGAAACAACAGATCATTGAAAAAAGAAAAAAAAAACAACTGTAAACTATGAATAGTGTCAACATCAGCCAATAATAACAAATATATTTTTCTAACAAGAATAGAGATCGCCTGAAGATGATGAAACATTTGTAAAATTTCATGATTGTAGCTGTAACGTAATGAAATACACAATATTATATTATCAATCGAGCAGAACATAACTATAAACATTGCTTCTTAGTTAATGATAATATTACTCATTAACCTATACATAAATACAGGGATTCCATAGGAAAAACAATAATGATAAGAAAAATATAATAAAGAGGGTGTGGGTGTGTAATGGCTGATGCATTTACACCCACACCCTCACACACACACTTTTTTCATTACATTTATTGTATTTTATCTGATCAACATCATCAAAATATTTACAATTTTCTCATAGTATTTTCTTTTATTAAGATAAATTTTAATAAAAATAATATTTACAATAAAGGAAAATATTCACAAAAATTTTTTGGAGGTATAAATGATCCTTGTACACGAAGATTGGTCAATTTGCTACAGGTTAGACGTGTAGCGTCATTAGTAAAATTGTTTGTGACCAAAACGAGTGTTTCATAACCAATCGCGAGGTTCATAAAAGAAGGTAAATGACAGTGTTTATCGACGAGAAATTGTTCAGCATAATCTGCATGACAATTATCAATATTGAGAAAAATAAGATGAGAGAATACGATCAACGATATTGATTCTTCTTTGTTCTTCATTGGTTCTTTCTTAAAGATATACAAATGTTTCAATCGAGGAAAACTTCCAGAGATGAGCTTGAAGAAGTTATGTTCAAAAGACTTGCAGTCTGTGATCGTCACAGATTCAACACTATTAAAAATACCACCTTGAAAACAATTAGTTACAAAATCAAAATCTTTAAATTGATATGGTAGTGAATAAATATGGCATCGACTTTTAAATTCATATGGTAATGAATAGTTGTGACATTTATATTTATTTTCTCTTGTGAAAGTTTCAACATATGAACCAACTGATTCATACTGTTTTCGATTGAAACTATGTTGAATATCTTCATTAGATGAAAAAATAATTTCATCATTCCTTTTATCAACAAATATTTGTATATTGAAAGTAAATTTGTTTAATCTTGGCATATAAATAAGTATATCATCATATAATTGATTACCGTCAATATAACTTCTGTTACTTCTTATTATTGAAATATATAATTTTAAATTTTCAAGGTTTATCATTCGTTGAAGTCAGGGCTGTCGCGACCGGGGGGGGGGAGGACGGAGGGGTCACCCCCCCTAATCTTTGAAAATTTTGCTTTTTTTGCTCGCTATTTTTTAAGAAATTTTTAAGAAATTTCCAAAATTTTTAGAAGAGTCTTTGAAAAATCTTTCAAAATTTTGGAAAAATTGTCAAAAACTCAAAACAATCTTCGAAAATTTTGGAAAAATCGTTAAAAACTAAACAAATCTTCGGAAATTTTTGAAAAACCGTTAAAAACTTCCAAAAATCTTCGAAAAATTTCAGTAATCTCTAAACTTTTTTTAGAATTTCGATAATTTATAGAAATTTTGGAAAAATTTTTCGACCCCCCCCCCCCAATCTTTAACACCTCGCGACAGCCCTGGAAATACCCTGAACAAATCATTAACGGCTATTGACCTCCGATCACCAGTCCGATAGCATACTAACTACGGTGTGATATACACCTGCTCTTGTAGCTAGTATGTGAAGATTTCAAACAATTGAGGGCAAGAATCCTGCGTTAGGCCAGCCTTCTGTCCAGAGCTACAGTATAGTTGTAGAGAAGATATCGAGCTAGTAAATCTGCCGTTAGACTGCATTCCATACCACAAAGTAGCAGAAAGACAGATATTCTTCCTTCTTTCAAATTTAAAAATAGAAATTTTATTTCTTTAAATTAATAAATTTCTACATAACGTCATTAAGTTATTTGCATATACTAGTAAAATTCACGTATTGATAAATATTTATTATCGAAATCATCGAGATTCAAGAGTATCAAGAGTAATAACAAATCCTTGAATAAATGAGAGAGGATATTGAAAATCACAAGAAAATTTATTTTTATGCATTCGGCCGAATTTCATTACGATTTGTTTCACATCTATAGAAACGAAAAAAAAAATTATTTAATTAAATTTTAGATTTAACTTATAGAAATATCTATTTTCTTCATTTTTGATTACCATTTGAAAATTTTCGATCGAAGATATTGTAATACAATCTTTTCCAATAAAATTTAATGCGTAACAAGAGTTACCTATTAAAAAAAAACAAGAAGCACGCGAATTCATTTTCTAATTTGAATAACATATCTTACATGAATTTCAAAGTGATGGTTTATTGTGTAAATGAATAAAACAATTGCTTTGTTCTTTCGAATTATATTTATCAAGATTATTTTTCTCCTTAAAGTATAAAAAAAAAGTCTTCCATATATTATTATAACATATTCAAAATGATGACTGAAAGTTATCTATGAGAAAAATTGCACTATCATTTTACAATGTTTGTGTTTATATCGAAATTTGCGTCGAACAGTTAATGTAAACTGTATGTTTGTGCCTACACATTGCTTGCTATAAGAAATATCAAATATATGTAGGATGCATATAATTACAAGTATTTTATTCTACTCTATGACTCACATATAACAATATCAATGTGATATTTTTTTGGAAAAAATATTTATCAAAACTAATAAACAAAAAACAGAAAAATATTAGTACTTATTACGTATCGAACAATAGTTCTAAGAGTGATATAGATAAAAATGTCTCACAACAATTAACAATAGATAATTTCTATAATTCCAATAATAACAACGAGTTCGAAAATTAATAAAAACAAAATAGTTTCAGTTACTATTTCTTCATTGTCTGTTAATCAAAATTCTACCATCATTATTAATACGTCTGCCAAGGATTTTGATATAGGGTTATATGTTTTAAATTATCTAGCTACAGAAGATTTTTCATTATTTAAATTGCCTGTTAACGGAACCATGAATTCCACCACCAAATTATATTTTTTTCAAAAATTGAGCAAAATGGAAAAATTCGATCGGTTTGCCAACATTCATGGCTGATATATTTGAAAATTGATCAAGGAGTTTATTGTCAATATTGTGTTTTATACTCAAGAAAAGAAAGAAACCAGTATCTTTGTCAATTTTGCTAATAGACTATTAAGATCATTAAAAAAACTATTGATTATTTATCAAATCATGATAAATGTGAATATGATAAAGATTCCGTTATTCAACCAACCGAATGCATCAATCATTATTCTTACCCAAATTCGGATGTCAAATACCAGTGTCAGCAGCTAGTGTCGAGCATTATTTAGCTACTATCAGTATTCATAAGAACATCGCTCAACAACTCGATATGGAAAATATTATTGATGAATTTGTCAAATCAAAGTATCTGTTAACTTTTATAGATGAAGTCAATTAAGTCGTTGTTTAATTAGAGATATTCTTCTTTTAGTTTTTCACTGTAAAAAATTGTTATCAAATATGAATGAAGGTAAATATAAATAATCAGTATTATATCTATCATATACGAGCAAAAGTCTAATCAAAACTAGACGAAAAAAATTTGATCTCTCCATCCAGCCAAAAATCTGTAAACATGCCTGCTTGACAGTCGTATTTGTTTAAGTTATCTGTATAAGAAAAGAAAATCTTAAATAAGTTTCTGCCAATAATCAAAAAATTAGTTTATGCCAGTGATCCAAAGCGACGATATTTCATTTTTTTTATTGTCGTACTATTTATGGATCGCCCGATATACACGCATGAATAAACAATATGTTAACAGACCCATTAAAAAGAAAAAAAGAAAATGTATAATTATTTCAAAGGAGATTTCTGCCATCTATTTATTTATTTTCCATTAATCAATATTTAATTTTGGTGATTATAATTCAACTGTTGTATGATCTTATTTCCATATCATCTTCACATAATGGTCTGTTTGGATTGTCAATACCATATCCTTCATAAACTTCACTTAAACACGTTCCTAATCCATGAACTAATGGTTGATAATTGTCAAAAAAGAAAGCATTTATTTGAGCACCCAAAATAATTATTAGAGCAAAATAATATAAAAATAAAATAAATATCACAGCAAAACCAATTTGACCTTTATAAACATAATAAGATATTTATCTTAAAGAAAAAAACATATTTCATATGAACAATTTACCTGTATAATTGCCCATAAATAGTCGTACATACAATGGAAATAAAATGATATATATTTCGAGTGTACAAGCAGCAACTAATGCTCCACACCATGTAACTTTAAATGACATATTTCTATTTGGAATATACAAATATATAAGTTCCAATAAAATAAATGCTGAAAGTAATGAAAATGTAATTCCAGCAACAAATGCTCCAAAACGACCACTACCACCTGGTATTATACTTATTAATATATATGGAGCTGAGCTAAATGCAAGCATTATTGGAATAATTATAATGAAAACAAAAACTGCTCCAAAAGCTAAGATATTTTCAGGAAGAAATGGTCGTTGAGGTACCCGATATACAATACACATACATTTATCAATAGCAACAAACAATCGAGATGAACCAAAGAATGCAATAATAACACCCATAAGCAATATTCCACCAGCTTCTTTTGATAATTGATCAAAAGCTATATCAACTATCTTTAAAAAAAAAGTAAATAATTAAATTTTTCTATTGAAAATTTTTCAAATAGATATTTACTTGTTTGACACCGCTAGATGTGGTATTATCGGTAGAAAATGCATCAATGATTCTATCTTTAATTTCTTGTTGTACTTGAGGATAGTTTCTTAAAACTACACCTAATATTCCAAATAATGCTATAGCCATGGGAAGAAGAGAAATTAATAAATTATATGCAAGCATTGCTGCAAGATTCAATGACCAATCGCGAAGAAATTTTTTTAGAAAAAGACGAGCTGTTGTAGTTTCTTGTTGAACACGTTCAAAAATAGCTGATGATTTTATTTTGTTTATCATTGTTTTATTTTATTTGTAGATGTTTAATCAACTAAATAATAAATTCTATCTAAACAAATGATGATAAATTATTAGAAGAAAATTTTGTAACTTTTTACAATCTAAATATAAGAAAAAAAATTGATGATGAGATCGAACAAAAATGTCAGAAAAAACAAAACGCATGAAAAGAAAAATGATGAAGTGTGCTTTTGGTATAGAATATGAAAATAGAAGGACGAAGAATATCGAGAAATGAAAAAAAGCATGTATATGTGATTCATAATATGTAGTATCATTAGGACAACTGCTGTTTCGATTGAATATGACACATTATATTCAACGACTAAATGATCGGCATAGACGAAAAAGTATGAAGAAAAATTGATTTGCGTAGGTTTGAGAGAAAAGGAAAAAACCCGGTAAAAGACCACTTAGTTAAAAAAAAAATAAATCGCTATATATGGTATATTCCTTCGGAATTTATTGTTTTCTTTTTTCTAATTTTATTTTAATATATTTTTTTATTTGATTGACATGATTTGAAGTTTATTTTCATAAACTGACTTTCTTAATACTCGAAGAAGAAATATTACTACAAAAAAACTTAAATTTACACGATACATCATATAATATCAATTGTGTTTATGTTTTGAGGCAATCGTCAATTGATTCGAAATATAAAATACTTTTATGTATTTACGATTATATTATAATTATATTTGCTTGATTTATTTTAAATATTTTATAAAGACTAAGTTCGTTGATTGAACACTATTTTTCTTGCATTTTTTCCTCAGATATGACAAACAAAACTGACGTAAAGTTTCTATAGCACGAAGTTGAACTCAATCAAAAGCTATACGAAAAAATGCTTTGAATTATAATTCACATTCTTTGATAAATAAATAAATTTTTTTTGTAATTATTCAAGATTCTGTAAAAAATAAGAATTATTTTCAATTATTCGATTTTTGACTTCTTGCGAGATAATATTCTTTAGATTCTGTTCTTATTGATATACTACTTACAATGTTTCTAACAGTGCAAAAATTAGAAGCTATTTGTGCTAGAAACTCTATAAGATTTCTAAGTAGTAATGAGTTTTTCACAGACTTGAAAGAATAATGATCGTCAAAAATTGGGAATTCTTTTAACAGTCAGCATAAAAGTACTTCGATCAGTTAGTCAGAAAACAACCATGGTTAATGTTGTCTTAAAACACAATGATCTTTTTCTTTTTCTGTAAAAAAAAAATAAATAGTTCTTCGAGGTTTTTATGGATTTTAGTAGCGTTTTACATCATAAAATAGAAATTTCCTCTTCATTGTTGTCTATATTAATAAACAGTTTGAATCTCGTCGTATGGTCAGCAATAACATTCATCCTCAGCTCAATGATTCCAGCGTCTGAATCCGTGAATTCTAGGCAGGCTCCTGCCGGAAAGATGTCGTTTCTGGCCTGAAAACTTCGAAAAACAGTAGCAACTTGAGAGCAAAAAATCCAGTCATCGGATCTGGTGGCTGAATTCCTCTAGTTAGAGTCGTAACCAACCTTAGCCTGACAGAACTGTAGCCGTATGCCCAAAACACTAATACCCCACTTGTTTTGGGTGGTCAGTGGCAGGTGATTCCTTCGCTAGTACGTCGGATTATCAAGAATATTCAATGCCAATAGATTAGCAGCACTCTCCACTATCCTTCCCAAAACAAGAGAGGAGCTAGTGTTCTAGTTTCGCTGTTAGCTACTCTACTGGTGATTTGTATCCTGGATAATGCAACATATTTAGCTAGGACACTACCTGCCACGGTTCACCAAAAATAAGAGGTGCGCTAGTGTTCCAGCTCCGCCGCTACAGAGTCGGTCACTAGATCCCATAATAGGATTTTTGCCTTCTAGTTTCTATCATTTTTTCGAGTTTTTCGGGCGAAAACAGCTTGTATTTCTTGACTTGGGTCGCATGAATTAGAAGGAATTAGAAAAAATATGTAATAAATACTTTAAGAAGTCTAATTATTTCTTTTAAGCTTTCAGCAGATCACATTAGAGTCTCTTTTTTTATTTATTGATGATTTCATCAAATATTATTTGCATTTGGGTTCGTAACGAAAAAAATTCTCGGTCATGAAAATTTTCCGGCATTATATTGAATCATTTAATTAATCTATACCACATTATTAAATACAAATTTTGTTACTTTAACAGATAATTTGTGTCAAGATAAACAATTCAAGTTTTCTTGATGTAGTGACATTTCATTCCGATGGTTTTCATTAATCATTATTTTAGTGTATGTTAGAATTGTCCGTGTTGTCGTTTTCTATTCATTCATTCGTTCTTTTCTTTCATTGGAATGTTGCAACGTGTCATTAACATTCGTATATATGCACTATTTATCTCCTTTGATCGACGATCGATTAAAGAAACCTGAATAATTATCATCTCTTGTTATTGTTGTTCTATGTGTATTCTCTCTCTATATATATATAGCTGTATATTCAAGTAAAATAAATAGTTCTAATAGGTTTTTATTGTTTGACATATATCCTTGATTGAAATCTGATGGGACAACAAATAAACGGTACAATAAGAAAACTCGTAAAAATAAAGAAAAAGGAAAGCTACATTTATTAGTTCATGTCGCATAGATCAAACATACATTTTCCTATTTGAATTCGAGTTTCTTAACACCTAGTAACATCAAATCATGTCAACACGAGTTGATTTATCTTTGATTAAAATAGTTGAATTATTAATTGTTGAAAAGAAAAAAAATATCATCTTGTACAATCAATAAGCGATTGTAACTGAATACGTATATGTTGCAAAAAAGAAATTGAAAATCTTCCATTGATGATCACCTTTGTAATGTAAGTACTTTTAGTCGGCTTCGATAGTGACCACATTAGAGATGTTTTATTGTATTAACTTTTCGAATTTTATCAGTTGATAATAAACTGTTAGAGATCGACTAGATCTAGAGCCCATTGGAGTAGTCCTAGATGCGATCGAGGCCAGGTCAGAAAATTTTGGACCGGGGGAACTCTAACCGGATCAAATGAGCAATAGAGCTGTTCCAAAAGATTAGATTTTATCAGACAAACCATTTGCACAGATCTTATAATACGATTTAATCTGTTCGAATAGTTCTTCTATAGGAACTGATCTACTCCAACAGTTCAGTTCTTGGAATTGAGCCGTCCAAAAAATGTTGTTCTGTTTTGAGAACAGTGTTTCAGTAATAGAACAAAGACTTTTATACCCGGCCGTGCCATTTCTAGAACAGAGCGGTATTTTTTTAAATTGTAAAATATCTTTCTCCAAAAATAAGACAAAAATTGTTCGGACAATGTAGTTTGGAACTAGAACTGAACTTGTCAACCTCTATAAATGATATTTAATAGATTCGTTTTATATTCTAAGTTTTTTTTCTTTACTATTTAATAATTTTGCAAGCAAATTGTTGTATTTTTTCTTGTTGTTGTTTATTTTGATAATATTCAGCTTGAATAAGCAATAAAAATCCATATATAAGTATAGTTTCTACTGTAGTTGATGTTTTTTGTAAATGATTAAAAACTATATCCATAATTTCTTCGATTATTTTCAAATTATCTGGCAAATATTCGAAATGAAATTGATCATTATATAAAGATAAATTTTTCAGAAAATATTCAATAACATTCAATTATTCATTTATAAATCGTTTTTGAATCCATTGAAGAAAAAATGAATACATTCGTTTTCTTTTGTTTACATCTGAACCACATTGTTGAAAGAGAGATAAAAATTGATTGAAAATTTCTGAATTTATAAGTTCATAACGAAGAAAAGATGTAGGTTCTTCAGGACTAATTAATTCAGATTGATCAAGTTGTTCAAATAAATGTCGAACCAATGGTTAACTTAATTCTGGATAATCACTCAATATATACAAATCAATTTCTGTACCATTTTTTAACAATTTATTTTGAAAATTCTTCTTCACCAATACGTTCTTCAACGACAATATCAAAAAGCTATTTGCGTTGTTGACGAAGAAAAGACATTTTTTGTGATCTTACATCATTGCCTAATATACAGGAAACGAGATAGTCTGTGTTATTTAGAGACCATTTACATGTTTCATATAATATAAAAAAGAGACGAACATAATTATCTATCGAAAATGAACGAGGAAATAGAAAAATAGATAGTTCTGTGCCTGAAGAATTTGATGGTAATTCATATTTAATTATACCTAAAAAGATGAAAAGAGAAATCCAAAGAATGAAGCCAATTTCATTTAATAAACCTGGTTGATGAGAAGCAACTAATGTTATCAATTGAATCATTCCATCTAAAGCTTTATCAAACATTCGTTGTTCTTTGGATAGAATAAATGCCGATAAAATTCTTTTATGTTTTTCCAATTGATTAACATATTCAATTGCTAAATGGCATATCACTTTTGGCTCTTTTTTTGCTAATTATTCAAATAATTTAATATTTTCTCTACAATAATTCCATAATTTATGATGATTGGTATATTTATCTATTAAATCACCTTTAATTAAATAAATAACAATAAGAGGTTGATAACGAATTAATTTTGAACGAAATGAAGATCAAAAATGAACTTGACTATAACGTGTTAATGACCAATGAGAAAGAAGTTTCATTATTTAATTTGATGAACAGAATGGTAATGTATGAGCATC